TAAAATGTACAGCCAACGAAAATGTCATTCAAAAGCAACATTTTACTATGTCAATTTACCTGCATCCTGGATTTATGAAAACATTTGGGGCTTGAAAGATCTCATTTTTCATTTGTACTTTAGAGCATTTTATATTACAATAAACTTCACGCGTGCAAGAACCTTGGCCTGTTTTGCTTTTTGGATGTTTCCCAAGTGCCTGGCACAAGGTAGACAGACATTCAGTAAATATTTGTTAAAAGGTATAGTAACTTTTATGGAGAAATAACATTTTATGTAGGTTTCCCACATCCTGGACTCTGGACTATGAAGGGTCCATGGTGCTCCAATGAGGGAGGTGGGAGGGTTCCCTCAGAGTAGGCAGCAATGGTTCTAACGTTGCAAACAAACCAAGAATGAGGTTATCAAAAGGCGTAGCCTGTGGGCCTATACGAAAGCCTTCTCTCTTTTTTTGGTAAATGCTGTCCATATACGCCGGAACCGGTTTGGCTCAGTGGCTAGAGTATTGGCCGGCAGACTGAAAGGTCCCAGGTTCGATTCCGATCAAGGTCATGTACTTTGGTTGCGGGCACATCCCCAGTAAGGGGTGTGCAAGAGGCAGCTGATCGATGATTCTCTCTCATCGATGTTTCTCTCTATCCCTCTCTCTTACTCTCTGTGAAAAATCAATAAAAAATAAATTTTAAAAAATGTTCTCCATATACGGCACGTTGACGCCATTCTTAGTTTACAATCCCAGGAGTTCTGTAAATCCACTTTCTAGTCAAAGCTCTATCTTGCAGTGCTGGGGGGATTTGCCCTCAATGATCATTAAGGACACTCACGCACAGGTGTGCCAATGTCTCTGGGCCATCCTAGGGTCAGGCTGGCTATCACTGAGAAACCCTTTATTCCAAGGCTTGGTCCCTCCCGACCCGCTGCTCACAGCTGGGGCATGACAGCCCTGGTACCAAAAGCCCAGCATCCCTGGACACCCCACACAGCCATTCCCTCTGAGGCCCTGACGTCCCCAGAAAGGGACCAGTCCCAGAGTGGGTCTGCCTAGTTCGGGCTGGCCTGGGATGTGCAGGTTCTTGACTTTGTGCAGGAAAGATTTTACAACAGAAGTCCGTGTGACTTGGAGAATGAATGCCTTCATTAAAGCGGGGAGTGGGAAACCAAGGAAGGGCCAGAGATAGAAGCAGCAGCTCGGGAGAGCCTCGGTGGGGCTGCTTTGGCTTTCTAGAGACGTCCGAGAAAAGGGGCCTGGGAGACAGGCTCAGGGCGTTAGCCCGGGACAGGCTACCACTGCCTGTTGCTCCCCTGGTCTCCTGGGGCCCCTTAGCGTTTAGGAGACAGAAAAGGCGTGGGCTTGCTCCTGAGAAAGCCCACAGGACATCCTTTGTTTTAAGGCTTTTCTCTCTCTTTTTTGGGGCAGGAACACTCAGCAGATTATTCATCAGTTTTTCAAGTGTGCTTTTAAATTATATGTTGATGTACCAAAATGTGTGCATAGAGGGACCAGGGTCATTTTCTGGTCAGCTCTGCCTGTATCTTGAATTTGTTTGGTTCTCATTCTTTGTTTTGTTTTGTTATTTCCCCCTTGTCTTTATCAGTCCATGGACTTGGCTGCCACAAAATGGTACTAATTAGGTTTCTGTTATCTATGGCCCTGACGGGGTGATTTAAGCTGTTTACGCTGTGGTTGGGGGGCAGGGAGCGCAAATTATTTGCTCTCAAGTGTCCTTGGTTTAGGGAAGATAAGGTCTTGTGATTCCCTCACTGGCTGTCCATTGTTTGACTTGTTTGGCCCCATTTGTCTAACCAACTGTCTCAGTTTCCCTTTTCTGAGGGTCCAACGTTCTCCGAGCATCTAACTCTCCTGCCTCACCTCACGGGGTTGCTACCCTTTTCTCTTTCCAGCCTCTGGGCTGCCCTTGAACTCCGCTAACCCACCGTCAGTCCTCTGGCCTGGCCTGGCCTCCCTCCCAGACCCACGGTATCCTCATGCAACGAGCTCAGCTGCTTCTGCTTTCTATCTGGCAAAACACACACACACACACACACACACACGAAAGAACAACCCCCGAGGCAAAGAAATACAGTCTGGCTACAGGCATGCAACTAGCAGTGGGCCAGAGCGAACAGAAGGAGAAAAACAAATCGTCTCCCATAAATTATTCTGCTCCACTCAGGACTGCAGCGGCCATTTCAATCGTCTTCATTCGAAAGCTAATTAAGAAAATAACCCTACGAGCAGCCCCAGGACTGGGGGGGCCAAATGCTAGGCTTTGGCAACATCTGATCGCACTTCCTGACAGTGAATAGAAGGCAGAAGCCGTGGGCACACACCACTCCTCGCTGGGAGCTCGCTCTAGCTGGAAGGCGGGAGGCTCTGTTCCTGCCAGCGCACGTTTGAATCCTAACGGAACTCTCCCCGCTTCGGGGCCAATCTTTCTGGAGCCTGAACCCTTCCACCTCCCGTCCCTCCGAGAGGCTCTCTTCCATTCTCACCGCCGGCCCCTAGGAAGCTTCTCAGACACTTCAAAAGTCAGTCGCTCAGACACCGCTTTGGTGGTTGGAATATAAATGCTGGAGCGTCTCGACATCTTCCACGGGGATCTGTAAAGGAGGCTTCAAAGAAACAGCTCTCCCGCTTTGAGAATTCCCCATATAAGTCATAAATAAAAATAACTGCTCCGTGCGGTGTATCTCTGATCTCACCCAGGGAAGGGTTTATTAAACAGGCCTGCAAGAAGGCCAGAGATCATACCCACAGGCCTCTGCGAGCGCTCGTGCAGTCTCTGGGGTCATCTAACCTCTTCCAAACACTGAAAATATTATACTTGAAAATCAGGCTTTGGTTGTCGGGGGAGAGGGGTAGATGATCGTTAGCCTTTTATGAGAACCGAATCAGTGTTTGAAAAGAAGGAAAACTATGTATCTTTTCTGAAATTAAAAACTCGGAGTGTCTTACTTCTGGATATGGCATTTTTTTTCTCCTATTTTAAAGAGCATTGTTATTACACATTGTGTACAGAATAGAGGACAATGTTGGAGTGAAGAGGAAAAGCTTAGAAGTGAGCGAGTGCCCACCCTTCCAGTTACAGATAAGGAAACACAATGGAAGGATTTAAACCGTGTGTCCTACCCCCACACGTAGGGAAAGAACTGAGGGAAATAAAATAAAGCAGGCACTCTGCGCCTGATCCTCAGCTTCCTTACTAGGAAAACGGAATGAGAGCACCTACCTTAGAGATGGAGAGGATTACATGAAGTGACGCCTGGAAAAAACAAAGCCCGGTCACTGGCACATCATAGGAGGTAAAGAAATGTTAACGGCGGAGGCGGTAACTGCCGCCCTGGCACAGAAGAGTGGCCTCAATCCCACCCACAGGTCAGAACTATCTGCGGTGTTTTCTCAGTAACAGTCGAGCCCAGCTGCAGACATTCTGAGTCAATTGGCCTGGGGTGGGGTCCAGTGTAGGTGCAATTGAAGGAATAATTCAATTGGACTCTGATGGGCAGCCAAGGTTAAAACCTACTGGCCTAGGTCAGTGGTCAGCAAACTCATGAGTCAACAGAGCCAAATACCAACAGTACAACGATCGAAATTTCTTTGGAGAGCCAAATATTTTCAACTTAAACTTCTTCTAATGCCACTTCTTCAAAATAGATTCGCCCAGGCCGTGGTATCCACACTCAAGGGGCCAAAGAGCCGCATGTGGCTTGCGAGCCACAGTTTGCCGACCACTGGCCTAAGTGGGGTCTAGAGAGAAAGGCAGAGACTTGTATCCTCAATACTGGCTAAATATCAGGCAGATGGTAAAGGAAGAGAAAGCGAGTGGGGAGGGGAGCAAGATTTAAAATATTATACTATGGAAAGGTTTAAAATTTTTTTCAGCCCGGCTGGTGTGACTCAATGTGTTGAGTATTGACCTATGAACCAGAAAATCACAGTTCAATTCCTAGTCAGGGCACATTCCTAGGTTTGGGGCTCCATCCCCAGTAGGGGGCTTGCAGGAGGCGGACAATCCATGATTCTCATCATTGATGTTTCTCTCTCTCTCTCCCTCTCCCTCTCCCTGCCTCTCTGAACTCAATAAAAATATATTTTAAAATATGTTAATGACATTTTTTCCCCATACCAAGTGTGTGGTTGCTACATACAAAAGATAAACCACAATGGCCAATCTAATGGAAATGGAGTGATTAGAAAGGCTTGGTGACAGTCTTATTAAAACAAGGTTCTCATCTGTCTGTAAGCTGGGAAGCATGCTGCCACGGCTGAAAGACCGGAAAACACTCCCGGATTAACAAGGGGACAGTCATTTAATGCAGAACTCAGTGACCATAAAGAGACAACAGGCAGGACTTCAAACAATACTGCATAGTGTCACGAAATAGCTCTTAACACAGCTGATCTGCTTTCCTTATGGTTTCGAGTCCATTTCGACGACGGAGAAGAGACTTCAATTAAAAAATAAATAAGGCAACAGAAGAAGAATCCTCCTGGGACAAGGAACGTCCACAGACATTTGGTGCCGGCACAAACGAGACACCATCGGGACAAGTTCTGAAGAGGCGTGTATGAACATGTCACAAGCATGGCCCAACGACAAGAAAATTAGACTTGCTTTGCGATGAATCCTTTTGCAGAGAGAAGTGACTCTCAGGTCATTGTTATATACAAATGTTCTGCGATAGGTGACAATCCTACCGATCCCTCCACCACCACCTCCTCCTGGTCTGAAACCTAGTCGTGTTCCATGGCACTGGCTCCCTATTCCTCACAGTCAAAGCGTACGTAGTCCTTAAAGCACTTGAGTCCACAGTAGTCTTGTCCTTAGGAAGGTGGGAAGGTTAGTATCAGTCCTCCAGAGACGGCTGGCAGGCAACAGGCTGGAATGTCAGAGACCGCGTTGTGCTTGGAATCCTGATGCGAACGCCACTCCGTTCCCCTCGGGAGTCCTCTGCTCCGTGGACGGGCCACCGAGCGCGGTGACCTTGAGGGTGGACAGTCATACCGTGGAGTCCCTGCCAGACTTGAGCTGTGCCATCTTGGTCCGGCTAATGAAAGGGTAAGCGATGCAGAGCCCTCCGGCTGCCACGATGAAGCCCAAGCTGCACCAGGCGCAGAAGATGGACCAGCCGTAGCCGTGTTCCACGTCGTCGGGCAGGCTGTAGATCAGCTTCGGGAGGCGGTGCAAGTCATAGGAGATGCTGGCGGCGTACGTGCAGAGGGAAATGGTGCAAAAGATCCCTGTAAATATAAGACAAAGAGGGCCAAGGATCAGTGGCAGTGTTGCCGGCTACACACAAGGCCAAATGCCAGACTGGCCTTTGTGAGAATCAGACCAACCGAAGAGACCATCACTCCAAACGAAGCAAGGATTCATCATTTTTTTTGGATTTGAATTACTTCATTCAGCAAAGGTTGGCAAAACCTGTATGTGCCAGACTGTGGGCTAGGCATTGTAGATACAGGAATGAAGGACACAGGGGAGAATTCTAATAGCTTGAATTATCCAAAATTATCTTGCTTGAATGGTACGTATATATTTAAATGTATATTTGTTTCCTTTAAAAGTTAATAAAAATTGCAATTATTTTTAAAACTCTTCTGTAACCACTCAAACCTAATGTAAAAGTTTTCATTTCCCTTGTTCCATACCTGATTTGCCCCATTTTTATTTTATTATTTATTTATTTATTTTAAATATATATATTTCTTCATTGATTTCAGAGAGGAAGGGGGAGAGAGAGATAGAAACATCAATGATGAGAGAGAATCATTGATTGGCTGCCTCTTGCACGCCCCCTATGGGGATTGAACCCACAACCTGGGCATATGCCCTTGGCCAGAATCGAACCTGGAATCCTTCAGTCCGCAGGCCAATGCTCCATCCACTGAGCCAAACTGGTTAGGGCTGCCCCATTTTTATATGGCTGCAATCATCCTACAAAAAAAATGATAGATCCTTTCCTGCTTTCTCTTTGAATTACCACCAGCATTAGTGTTGCCATGTTGCCTGTAAATAATATTTTGAATTAATTTTTACAAGTGCTAAATCATTTCTTAAGTTATACAGCCTGGCACATACTAGGGCCTCAACAAATCGTGTGTGTGTGTGTGTGTGTGTGTGTTTAATGAATGACTAAAATCTTTTAAATAATATAATTAAATCCAGGAAATTGGAAATGATGTAAAAATAGCTGAGTAAGCAGGTCATATACTTCAACCACTCCAAACGTAGGCAATTTGAGTGATATAAATGGACAGACCTGAAATTTTACTTTTTTATACCAACACATGGATCATTGTCCTTCCACTAAAATTGGGACTCTGATAAAAATCCTCCAGACACAGGCTTTTTAGTTTTCAAGTGATGATCCTCTTCCACCACAATGGACCCCCAAGGATGCTCCTTTGGGTGAGCAGGGGATCAGAATGAGACTGTTGCTGAGCTGAAGATGGGCAATCAAAACCAAACCTGGTCCCCTCTGACCTATGGGAATGCCCACGTTGGTCCCAGCCTTGCACGGCTCTCCTTCGTTCTTTGGTTTGTCCTGTGTGCAGTGGAGGTCACACTTACTTGCTGGGAAATTGTTTTGGTGACTTTAGGGCCCTTTGCAGCCTCTCCATAGGAAACAGAAGCACAGATTTAAAAGGGGTATAAGATAACGCCCCCTTTTAAACAGAGCTTTGGGGATCAGAAACACTACCAGAGAAATAAACTCAGAGCCGGCAGCAATAGGGGAGAAATAAAGATGACCTAAATGCATTTTTTTTTTAAGTGCTGCAATTCTGCCTCCACTCAAATCATGTAAGAGCACATCGCCTGAATCTTTTTCCAAATGTTCATTTAGAAAAGAAATGTTTTCAATTAAAACGATGCGTGATCTGAGATAATTTGATATTTTCTACTCGGCCTAATTCTGTTTTTAAACCCTAAAGTGATTGCTTTTCTACAAAGGATAAAAATCTTGTCTTCCGAGTCCTTGCTCCGAAATATAAAGGCAAACATGTCACTTTGAGTTCTCCAAAGAAAGATCATCATAGAAATAATTCTTTCATAAAGGAAGGAACCAGGCAAAAAAAAAAAAAAAAAAAAAAAAAAAAGATTATTCCTCTGCTCTTTTCAAATCTTGTGAAGAGCAAATGTTCTTACATCTACAAGAATGTTCTCCTGGCACCAACTCAAAGACAGTGTTTATATATAACAAAGTCCTTCTAACCAATTCTGGGAATAGAACAATAAGGCAGTTAGAAAAAATCTGATTTTCAACAGGTTACAAGATAATAATAGAAGGAAAAGGTACTCCATTCTGCATTTAACTGTCTGCACCCAACTGAATGCTTAAAACAAAGCTGGGTGGCTCAAGTGATGGGAGCACTGTCCCATCCACCAAAAGGTTGTGGGTTCGATTCCTGTCAGGGTACATACCTAAGTTGCAGGTTTGATCCCCGGTCAGGACTCATAAAAGAGGCAACCCATTGATGTCTCTCTCACATCTATGTTTCTCTCTCCTCTCTCTCTCTTCCTCTCTCACAATAAAATAAAATAAAATAAAATAAAATAAAATAAAATAAAATAAAATAAAATAAAATAAAATAGAAATAGATATATATATATATATATATATATATATATATATATATATCCTTGCATGAGGATTTGAAAAAAAGTATTTCTACAAGTAACATGGTTTTAATGACCTCTGAAAGCTTGAGCCCAAACTTAAGACTTTTAAACATCCTTTGATGTCCAAATGCAATAGGCTGAGATGCAGGAAATGCATTTTCTGGTCCCCAGATCCACTGCTCATCATTGTGCAACCTTAAAATTACCTAGCCTTGCTGAGCCTTCATTTCTTCATCTAGGAAAAAGAGAGGGGTGATGGGGACCTGGTTACTGAAGTCCCTTACAGGGTCAAATTTCTGTAATTCAATTATCCCAAAATGTGGCGTAGTTCTGAAAATGTCCTAGCAAATCTAGTGTCTGGTAAGATGCACCTAAATAAAAAATAGATTGTCCTGGATTTTCTTTCTGTATTGACTCCCTTTGATTTTGCACTCAACATTGATTTTGATTTTTTTTTTTTTTTTTTTTTTTTTTTTTTTTTGCGCCTCTCCCCTGCCAACGCCATAAAATTGCGTTTGGTGAGATGAAGCTTAGCCTCTAGTTCACACTGAGCAGAAAGGGGTGATCAGCAACCATCCAACCTGCAGCCGTACCGGAGGCTGGTTTTCTCTGCCCTCAGCGTCCGGGGTGGTGGTGCTCTCCCCAGGCACTTGGTTTGTGCTTACTTCATGGACACTGTGAACGTGTCACTGATAAAATGTCTTCCTTGGACTGAGTGGCCAGAACCCTGAAACTCCCTAACACTAAATCCGGGGCCCAGTCGGGGACTTTATGGCATGCTTTTTTGCTACTAAGCGCACCCTTGGATCCATCATGCCTTGCAAACCTGATTGCTCGTCTTATTTCTATGACTTGTATTTACTTTATCATAAGATATTGGATGAGGTTCTGTTCCATTGAAGTTCTTTTTGGAATAGGGCACTCCTCAAACCTTGATGAAAACCTGCTTTATTTTCTGAGGCCTTGCCTCACTCAGCTGACAGTGGTAGAAAGGTTACCATGCGCCCACAAATATGCCTCCATCTGCCCTTCCTTTGCCCCCACAGGCTGGTCTTCAGTAGCATTGTTTCATCTTTCCAAGGTGTCCTGGACGTTGTTCGGAACCAGAGGAAAGCCAAGGTTAACAAAAGAGTATATCTGCGAGTTCCTCCTTTTTAGAGGCTCACACCTCTAAGAAGTTCCCACGCATATCATTTGTGGGATGGGCAGGACTGGTTTTGAAATACGACAAGGAAAGGTACGGAGACTAGACTGTAAAAAAAAAAAAAAGGTCTGACCCATTCTAGGTATTTTAAAAAGCAAAAATGAAACCATCTAACTTAAAAGGCACCAAGAGTGCTGTTTAAATGATGAAGACATCTTTGTTGTGCCTGGATTGTTAGTCCTAGGCCAATTTTTATGCCATGGAATTCCATTTTGGTTCTATGATTAAAAAAAATCATAATATGCTCATTAGGCCAGACAGTCAAACGACCTTCCCAATGTCCTTCTGGATGAAGCCGGGGCTGGGAGGGCTGAGCCCCCTGCATGAATTTCGTGCATCAGACCTCTAGTTTTAAATAACGCTGCCATTTTGTCAGCAGCAATCTAGTTAATGGGACATGGGCATGAGAAGATAAGGTACCATCCCTGCATTCTAAAGTGCCAAACCTAATGGTCCTTCCTAAAACCCATGCGGAAAGAAGCTGCCTCTCCTCCATTCTTCTCGGAGGTTTTTCCTTCCCTTTTTCTTCTCCCCTGACCAGCTGGGAGTGACCGGGGGCTCCCACGGCTACCTTTCAGCCCAGCTGGTGGCGCCCAGGGAAAGATGTCCCACGCTCAGTCCTGGCTATTGCCGAGAGCATCTTCAAAAGGGTGAATAATTACTGGCTCTGAAAAGCCCTGCACGCAGCTCCTTTTCTTATAAAATATTAAGAGGGTTTCTGCCAATATTCTTAATTAGAAAATACCATGATATCACAAGATTATAGGGCTGGAGGGGATATTTTTGGGTCGAGACAGAGAAAATTTATGCGGCCATCCCAGATCATCAACCTAATTTCCCTCCCTGAAATCCTCATGGTGCCCGTGGCCAGCTGGTAGGATGTAATTAGGGTAACTGGGCCCATTCTTTGGAGCATCCTCCTTTGATGTGCTTAAAAGGCTGAAAGGAGAAGTTGCTTCACCCTGGTTAGCCTGCTTGATAAATAACATAACTGCAACGCCCAAAGGCATAAACATTGACTCCCCTGCTCTCCTTCCATCCCGCCCCCTCCCCCCGTTTTCAAAGAATGACCTGCCCATCATCCTGGTCTCTTTGTAACTTCCAGAAAGAAAGAAAAAAAAAATGCCTCATGCTACTTTTCACACATATTGAATGACTGGGCAGGAATAATAGAGACAGACAACACTTTACAAAAAAAAAAAAAAAAAAAAAAAAAAAAAAAAACCCTCACCAAAATAAATAAAAAATCCACAATCTGCAATTATTAAATCCCCAGACACCCACCCTATTCCTGAAGGACTGCAGCAATCTTATTTAAAGGCAGAGCCTGACCTGATGGGACGTGGGCTATTTATAGTCCGCATCGATCCCGCACAGGATATGTTTTGCTGCAGACATGTTAATGCATTTGAT